CCCTGTCTGCATCAGCAAGGTTTGCCACCCTTTGGTTCTCTTGCTGTGCTAGCATTCGCTTCCTTGGCCAGCCTCATGGGCCGCAGAGGAACCTGGCAAGGACCAGGCTGTACTTGTGCATGTTACACGAATTGGCTTGTTTTATAAGTTGCCTTGGGAAAGTGAATTGGTCTACTTGGACTCTCCTTTATCTCACTTATCAGTGATGATTCTGTTCACCTGAACCTAATCTCAAGCAAGTAATGATGACTGAGTAGGCAGGAACATGCTTTATAAACTGATAAGCAGGCCCCTGAAAATGGGGTGGAGTTAGCAGAACTTCCTGGTCTAGATGGAAAAAAATAATGGCCCCATCATATCCACAGTGGAGGTATATGTTTTTAGGAACTGGATTCATTTGGAATTCCTCTGTGGAAGAAATTTCTGAGATGCTTGTCAGAATAGAAAAATTTAGAATTCCATCAAAAATAAAAAAAAATCAACCCCCAGATCACAAACCTGAAATGTCATTTGTCTGAAAAATCCACACCTCAATTTTTCCACTATCAGTTGTTCCCATGCCCACCCCAAGTTTGCCTAGAAATGGCTTAAATCTAATGTTTATTGACCAGAGAATATTATCCAAGTTTTAAAAAATATTTTATGTACATATTTGAGGTTACCACAAAATATTATGACATACACATAGATGGTTAAATGGTTACTATAGAGAAGAAATTAATACAACCATCATCCCACACATGATTTTTTTCCTGGAGATATGGCCAGTGGTTAAGTAGAGCAGCTGAAACTACTTTTCTGACAAAAACCCCTAATATAATACAACTTTATTAACAATGGTCCTCAGATAGTGCATTAAATCTCTGGATCTAGCTTGTTACATCTTATATATCTGCTACTTTATATCCTTTGATCTATATAGTTCCTCTTTTTTCACTTGATCTCTCTCCTCCCACCCCAAGTAAACCACTATTTTATTCTCTTTTTTTTTTTTTTTTTTGTACCAGAGATTAAGCTCAGGGGCACTTAACCACTGGCCATATCTCCAGCCCTTTTTTGTATTTCATTTAGAGATAGGGTCTCACTGAGTTATTTAGGGCCTTGTTAAGTGGCTGCGGCTGACTTTGAACTCACAAGACACCCAGGTTACTATTTTATTCATCTCTATATATTGGACATTTTTTTAAAAGATTCCACATATAAGTGAGATCATGCAATATTTCTCTTTCTTTATATGTTTATTTCATTTAGCATGATCTTCACCCATGTTGTGGAAAATGGCAGAATTTCCTTTCTTTTTAAAATATTTATTTATTTATTTTTAGTTATAGGTGGACACAGTTATCTTTATTTTATATTTATGTGGTGCTAAGGATTGAACCAAGTGCCTCACACATACTAGTTGAGTGCTCTACCTCTGAGCCACACCCCCGCCCCAAAATTTCCTTTCTTAAGGCTGAAAAATATCACATACACACATACACCCTACCACAGTGTCTTTATCCATTCATTCACCAACAGACACTTAGGGTTTTTCCACATCTTAGCTACTGTGAATAGTACGGCACTGAACATAGAGGTACAAATATGTTTTCAAGGTGCTGTTTCATAACCTTTGGGCATGCATATACCAAGTCCTGTCAATTGTGGGTCTTGTGACAGTTTTATTTTTAATTTTCTTTAGGAACTGCCATACTGTTTTTCATAATGGCTGCACCACTCTTCATTTTCATTCCCACCATTCCTTCCCCTTTCTCTTTGCCAGCACTTGCTCTCTCTCTTTTTTCACTCCTTAGCTCTTTCTTCTCTAGCACCTCCTCATGCCAGCACCCATAACACAGTCACTTACTGGTCCCTCTCCTCTCCTCTACCTGCCCTGGGCTTGCCACTTCTGGGCTGCCCCACAWGGTTCATTCACCCCATGACTTTTACTCTCTGGGCTGCTGCTGCCTGGAATGTCCTCCCATTTCATTTCTCAATGACTGTCCCTCTGTATCCACAGGTTCTACATCTGTGAATTCAACTACAGATTGAAAATATTTAAGAAAAATTTGTGGGGCTGGGGATGTGGCTCAAGCGGTAGCGCGCTCGCCTGGCATGCATGCAGCCCAGGTTTGATCCTCAGCACCACATACAAACAAAGATGTTGTGTCCACCGGAAACTAAAAAATAAATATTAAAATTCTTTCTCTCCTCTCTCTCTCTCTCTCTCTTTAAAAAAAAGAAAAAGAAAAATTTGTGTCTGTACCAAACATGTCATTTTTCTAGTCTTTATTCTCTAAACAATACCGTATAGCAACTAATTATTAGCACTTACATTCTATTAGATATTATAAGTAATCTAGAGATGATTTGAAGTATTCAGGAGGATGTGTATAGGTCATATTGCAAATCTTAAGTGGGGCAGAAGTTCTCATTGTGGCAGAAAACTGGCCTGTTTCCTCCAGGAGAAGCACTAATTGCAGGTCACCTTTACTTGCCCTTGATTGGAGCCTAGTATCCAACTCTAATACAGTCACCTAGGTCTTCAGAGGGAATCACTCTTGAATGACTGCCAGYATTATAGCTAATTCCATGATTCAAGGCAAATTACCCAGCATACCGATTAGCCAAGCCCTTTATTTCCCTCTTCCTGCTCTCACTGAATCTACCCTTTTAACTCTGTGCCTGAGAGTCCTGCCCCAGAGACAACTTGGGCTTCTTTGCTCACAGAACAATCAGGAGGACATGGAATGCATTTCATTCTGCAACACTTTGGACTCCTTAGATGTCCTTCATTCTCTAGATGGGCTGAGAGTGGCCCATGTCAAGCTGGATGTGCCGTGGGGGCATCTTGTAAGCAGAGCTGTAGGCCTGCTTCCTGGGCCTGGCAGTCTCCTTCCTGCCATCCAGCAGGCTAAAGAACAAAGACCGCAAAAGGACAATGGGAAGAGGAGGAGAAAGTAAGAGGCACTAATGGGATCCATCACCAGCTGGGTCCATCTGTCTAGAAGCCTGTCTCTGGTGATGGCACCAGGGGACATGTCACTGGAAAGCCTGCCTGTCCACTGGCTTGTCAAACCTCRGCACCAGACACTCTAATTTCCTTAATAACAGGTTACAGACTCTGTATCTATAAATGTAGCTCAACCCTTCTCGACCTTTCTTTATTTTTAGCCAATACTGCTGCTCTGGATGTAATGGCTTCCGTAGCTGATTACTTTGTTCTGTAAATACCTTTATGTCAAATAGAAAGAAATTCTCCCTGTACGGCTGGAAGACCCTGTGCTCTTAATTCTAATTTCTTGCCTTAGTGACAAATTCATGTTTGGCATATTGTGTCTATTTGGGAGRCCAGGGAAAAGTGGATATCTCTTTCAGTGTTGAGATTTTCAGATTCAAGTTTCTGTCCTTTGTCACATAGTGTCCATCAGGATCCTCATTCCTTTTGTTTCTTTTCCTCAGACTTTCCTGCCTCTGTTTGGTCTATGTTGAAATACAGCAGCTAAACTGGGCATGGTGGCAAAAGTCTGTAATCCCAGCTACATGGGGGGCTGAGGCAGGAGGATAGCAAGTTTGAGGACAGCCTGGGTAACTTAATGAGACCCTGTCTCAAATTTTTTAAAAAGTGTGGGGGTGCTGAGGATGTGGCTCAGTGATAGAGTGCACCTGGGATCAATGCCTAGTGCCACACACACACATAAAGCAGAAAAACAAACAAAACCCACAGTTACTGATAGATAATGTCAAGTACAGATCATTTAAGACCAGGGTTAGTCTGTTGTTCCTACTACCTTTTTGCAGGACACTTTTTTGATTTTTGTGACTTTAACTTAGGGCCATTTTCAGAGACTACTAAGTGAAACCTCTCCGTTTAGCCACTGTGGCTGGGATAGACAGGTGCCTTGGGTGGTTTGGATTTGTCTCTCATGCTTGTTTTACATTTGCCCACCTTGACCTTGATCTCTCATATCACCGTTTTTCCATGTGGCTTCTGTCAGTTCACATAATCAAATAGTAGGTGTCGCTTGGGTCTTCCCAGGGCACTAGTGAAAATATTAGCTTGGACCCTCTTTGAGTGTTCTTACTGTTACTAGTGCCGTCCGYGGGGGAAAGCAGCTTACCACTGCAGAGCATTTTTAACTTTTCAGAGAGGTTGACAACTGTTGTCTCTGTCTATTTCTCAGAAATCTGTAGAGAGAAGGTTTGATCTGAAAATTGACAAAAACTGAAGCATGGAACCATTTTAGCTGTCCATATAATATTCTGAAATTAGAATTTTTGTTCCTCACCCTTAGTTCCTTCTAAAGTACTGTATTTTTTTTTTWGTTTTTTTATTTGTTCTATTTAGTTAGACATGACAGTAGATTGCATTTTGATGCATCATACATAAATAAAGTCTAACTTCTCATTTGTCTGGTTTGAAGGACTGTATTAAGCCATTTAACTTCTTTTTTTCTGATTCTATAGCACTTGATTTAAAAGAAATGAGAAGAATTAGTAAATGAAAGGAAGTCTTTGGTAAATAACCTTAGCAGAGATGTTTTTTGAAAAGGTTAAATCTACAGATTATTTCTTGTCCTCTTCAAAAGATTTATAACTGATTTAACAAAATCCTGCTTGTTTGTTTTGAGGTCTATCCCTCCTACTCCCTTATCAATTTGCATTTGATGGCCTTACAACAGATTTTCTTTTCTAACTCCTTATTTGGTACAGAATTGCAATGATTAGCTTTCCCTCTGGAGCCCTTACACAGAGATAAGTTGCTTTGACAATGGGCAATTTCATTAGGCCTGGAAAGTTGGCCAAGGACATCCTGATTGCCTAAGAAGGCGACAGCTCAAATCTCCCTGCTGCAGGAGGGTGGAAGTCTCTGGTGTCCTAAAGCTTCACTGTGAATCAGTGAGAACAGCCTTGGCTGTTACTTCTCAAGCTGGTTGTGGGCAGACTGGGGGACACAGGGCTTCCAAGTGACTTTTCAGTGTACAGTTCTCTGAAGCTGTTTGTTCTTGTCTTTTTAGACTCTTGAAGGAGGCTCCTACCGGGGGAGCTTGAAAGACMCTACAGGCTGCCTAAATGAGGGGATGACCCCACCCACTCCTCCCAGAAACCTGGAAGAAGAACAGAAAGCCAAGGCCCTTCGAGGCAGGATGTAAGTAACTCCCCAGATCCCACTCTTGCAGGTGGGGCGGACCGTGGTGAAGGGCTGGGGGTACTTAGGGATTCCCCACGCTGYGCTTCGACTGATCTCAGAAAGAAGTGAAGGTGACTCAGATCTATTCTGTGTAACATTGAAGAACAGTGAGTACTTTGGCACTGTCTTGAAGAAGTTTAGGCTGAAGTGTCTTCTGTTAAGTAGCAGCTATTAATGACAAAGTATGGTTTTAACTAAGATCTGATAGAAATATTAAACATGCTGATAAAAGGGAAACTGTGGGACCATTAAGATGGGTCTGTAGTACCAGGGAATCCCTAATCATGGCAGAAAATCTGGTGGAGGTCACCTGAGGCGATATGCCCCAGGTATAGGCAAGTGAGAGATTAGAAGAGGAAGCTGTAGTACTGCCAGGTAGGGCTCATCTCAACCCCTCCMCAAGGGCTTTAATTCTGCATCATTTAGTTCTACAAAAACTGCCTTTCCACTTTGAATGGCTAGTGGTAAAATACAGTTCACATTGCAGTCTGTTTCACAAAGATCCTTGTGCAATGCAAGGTCCGGGTTATATGCCTCCTGTTATGTGAGATGATAAGGAAGATATGGATGCCAGTAATACAGAATCATAACTCCTCCCTTACTTTAGTTTTCTTGTTCAGAGTTTGGCTGAGCTGGAAGCCAGCTGCCAATAAGTCTTGAACATAGCTCAGTGTGAAATCGTGAGCAGCAGTGAGAGTAGGGTAGGCAGATGGGAAGGGTCCCTCTCTTCTGTTAGTCTGCCCTTCTCCCTCAAATTAATCACTCCTTTTGCCAAGTCACTGCAAATTGATAAGGGAGTGGGAGGGATAGACCTCAAAGCAAAAAAGCACATTTTGTTAAATCAGTTATAAAAAAAAAAATAAATGGGGCTAAATCCTTCTGTTACTGGGAAATGTGTCCAGTGAACATTTAGGACTTTGTTTCCTAGGAAACAAAAATAGAAACATCATAGCAAGAGCCTTGTGTCAAAGCAGGGCTGTCCCCTCACAGTGGGGAAGAACAAGAGGCAAGCAAACTGTATAATTTCATACTTAATCCCACAACTTTATGGGTGCTTAGGAAGAACCTCAAGAAGTTGGTAAATGGAATCAAGATTGAGAAATGTCATTTCCACAGGGAAATTTCCTAGGACTTTTACAAAACTGGTTCTCCTTAGCTTACATCAGTCAAGCCAAAACAAGGCTTCTATCAGGGAAACAAAAGTTTTCATCAGGGAAGTGACCCACAAGGTGGCCAATGGTCCTTAGCAAAGACAAAYACTAGTCTCACTCATGTTGACCAGGCCTATGAGAATTATGTCAGCCATTGTCCAAATATGATATTGCCTGATTTTGCTACCATGGACCACAAGAGTGTGTTGCCTTTTTACCCAGGGAGCCATCTCTCCTCCCTCATCTCATTCTCACCAAAGCCCCTATTTCTCCACATCCTGAGCTATCCTGAAAATCTACCCTACAGTGTCTCATCCCTTTTACTATATATCATCCTTTTGATATATATGGGAGAAGTAGGACAAACAAAATAAATTAGGTGGTATGTCAGAAGCTGGAAAAAAAAAAAAAAAGCAGTATGAGGGAGATCAGGAATGAGGCCAGGCTGCGGTTTTAAGTGGTTCTGACATTTGCACAAAAACCAGAAGGAGGTAAGGAGTTAGCCATGAGGAAGAGTGTTCTGGGTAGAGGGAACAGCCAGTGCCAAGGCTCTACAGGATTTCCTGTGGAAGACCAGCCCTTCCCTACCACTGTGAAAGAGAGAGCGTTAGAAGTGGGCCCGACCTATAGCTGGAAGAATTTCACAGGGACCAAAGAACAACATTTGTTTGTAGCTTTTACTGATAAGAATTGAACATGGACAGTAATTTATTATTCATTCATTTGGCAATTAATCCTGTACTACCTTAAGATGAATATAATTTAAATCTCTGAGGTAACTTTTCAGAATGTCTTTTAATGTGTCTTAATCTCCCTCAGATACTTCACCAGCCCCTTAAGGAAAGGCTCCCCAGCAGACCTGATGCAAGTCCCCTTCCCTAGAGGCTGACAAGCCTAGCCAGCCCCAATGTGTCAGCAAATGGCTGAAGATAAAAATATCACGTGGAGACAGAGCAGTAGACCTCATCTCCACAGGCCCCTCCCAGCCCCAAATTCCCACTCTCATTTTCCTGTGGTTTTCTTTAACCGCTGTCTTCCAAGCGGTACTTGGGTCATGCTAAAGATATATTTGAATGCTTTATATATTTGGCCTTGCCAGTTCCTTCCTGTGGCCTGAAACACTCGCTGGTCTGTGCTGGAGGGAACTGGTTGGAAGTGCTGAGCAGGCTGATAAAGAAACATGTGTTCCTTTGCTTCCTTCTCTGGCCCCCCAGGCCCCTAAACCCCGGGGATTTGGTGGCTCCTCAGTGTCACACAGAACAAGAGTTTCAGCTGAATTGCTTCCTGGGTTCAAAATGGTTACAACCCCGGCACTGGGGTCCTTGTTTGACATCTCAGAACTTTACCCCTTTTGCCACTTGAGCCAAAAATATACTTGTGTGGCTTCAGACAAAACCTTTTCAAATCAGATAGTAAAGAATCAGACTCCAGGGCTGGGAATGTGGCTCAGGCGGTAGCGCGCTCCTCTGGCATGCGTACGGCCCGGGTTCCATCCTCAGCACCACATACCAACAAAGATGTTGTGTCCGCCGAGAACTAAAAAAAATAAATAAAATATTAAAAAATTCTCTCTCTCTCTCTCTCTCTCTCTAAAAAAAAAAAAAAAAAGAATCAGACTCCAGTAGACTCAGAGCAGCCCCTGCCCTGTGCACAGCCAAAAGCATTTTATGGATAGGTCTTCCTCTTCACTGTTGGACAGAAAAAGAGGAATGTTTGGGGCTGAGGCTTCTGGGACTCCAATGAGCCAGTCTCAGCCATTTGCCAGGCAATGAGCTACATGAAGGAGCTCAGTCTTTGGACTCTTGAACAACTGGGTTCAAATCCCATCTCTGTCCCTCACTTTGTAATCTTGGGCAAGTTACCTAATCTTTCCATTTGAGTATTTTCATTAAATAAAGTACGCTTTACAATACCTACATTTTTACAAGAATGAGAAAACCCAGATGAAGTAACTGGCCTTATAGTAAATGCTCTAAGAAGTAGAAATAATTAACAAGGAAGCCAAGAAAGTAAATGTCCTTGCCATTGTTCAATCCTGCGTCTTGGGACTGAGCGCAGCCTTCAAAGTTGTGAGTGAGGAATGTCTGCAGTCAGCCTTTCTGGCCTTGACTGGGGATTTTCCAAGCCAGTTACCATAGATACCCATGTGAATAATTGTAGCTTCTAGATTATAAAGTAAAAGTTTCTCTCCATATCTGCAGTTCTGGGGCCTTAACAGCTTGTTATCAAACAAGTGTCTTTCTCCTCTCTTTAGGAAGAATGGAACTGAAACGGAACTGAAACGAAGGAATAAGAGTCTCATATTGATCCTTTGGCCTCAAAGCTTTTGTAACTCAGTTTTGCCAAAGCAGTTGTAGTTCTTCCTGCCCTGTGTCTCTACAGTCATTCAGGGAGAAAGAGATATACAAAGTAGAAAGAGGATTTCAAAGCAGTTGTTCATCATCCTTGTCTGACTTGTGTGCTGGCTAAGGGAGAGTCTTTGCTGGCCTCGTGCCCTCAGAGAGCAGCAGTGAGCAACTCTGGGGTGCTTTAAGGCGTTTAAGTAACTTTACTGTGACCTTAGTGTGAAGACTTCTTGCTTAACAATAAAGAGGAACCTTCATTATTCTTCATCTCCTGCTCAGGTTTGTCCTGAATGAGCTGGTACAGACAGAGAAAGACTATGTCAAGGACCTGGGGATTGTGGTGGAGGTGAGTATCTGRTGCAGAGTGAGTCTGGGCTCACCCAACTAGGAGCAGGTTGGACCCTACATGGGCAGGGGGTTAGCTTGATGGCTGCATGTATTTTACTCTCTCTGGGTATTTGCAGGAATGGGTATTAAAATGATAGCCAGGTGTGTAATCCTAGAGACTCAGGAGGCTGAGGCAGGAGGATCACAAGTTCAAGGCTAGCCTTGGCAATTTAGGGAGACCCTGTCTCAAAATAAAAACCCAAGGGGTGAGAATATAGCTCAGTGGTAAAGCACCTCTGGGTCCCCAGTACCMCACACACACACACACACACACACACACACACACASASAGATGATTTAAGGGTATAATTCAAATGTAATATGCAGGCACTTTTTTCTTTTCTCCTTGAAACATTTCTGATATTTAGAGAGAGGTAAGGGCACCAATATTATAGCATTTGGGGAGCTTCTTGATTAGAGTTGCATCCATTTCACCTTGTTTGGGGTGACCAAGTTATGATCTTAAGAGGCCATTGGATGTTTCCTCATGTGAATATATATTCTTCAGAATTCTGAGCACCCTGGGCACAAACCAGGTAACTTTGAGTGGAATCTTGGGGCTTACACATTTCCTTAGAGTTCAAGGAGTATGTCATAGCTACTAAGGAGACAGACAAAGAAAAAGCCACCAATAAGCAAGAGTGACAGGTCCCCAGTTAGGAATCAAATTGGTAATAAATACAACAGCTCCAGCTCCATAGGGATTAACTTTTGAGGACTTAAGACACTTTTTTGGAGGACAAAGCCTAAGGAAGTAAATGGATAATTTAGATGGCTTAGAGCCCTTTTGTTTAGCATCTTAAAAAAAAAGATAGGAATTCTAAAAATTGAATTCCTAATGTTTAAATTGCCTGCTGGTTCCTAACAGTTGCSCTTTAAGTCCTCATCCTATGAACTCTGCTGATAGATGGCTCTGTATTTGCCAATCCTGAGCTTTGGATAAAGAGACTAACCAGGCATAGAGAGGACCTGAATTCTAATTTATTGAAAGTCACTCTCCCCCTTGGGAATCTGGAGATTGAGAAACTGAAATCCAGGAAATTCAGACATCAGTGGTATGATTAAAAGTAATGTAACATGGGTACCTTGGGGTTTTTTTTGTTTGTTTGTCTCTCTGATGGGGCCATATGCTGCCTGAACAACCTCACAACCTGATTTTACAGCTGAAATGAGATGACATAGGACTGCTACAGAGCCTAAAGTGTTAACATTTTATGACTTATTTATAGGCCAGATGTATCTAGTTCTGAGTCTTTAAAAATATAATTAACTTGAGTTAGGAGACAGGGAAGGAGAGAGGATCGTTTTCTTTGTTCGGATGCAACCCAGGGCCTGGCRCATGCTAGGCATGTGCTGTACCACTAAGACATAGAAACACCCAGAAACTTCATAAAAGTTTTGATTCTCACTCTGCCCAAGGGCAGAGTCTTGGCTGAATAGGAAAAACTACAGCAGCATCAYCCTCAGAGTCACACAAAGCGTGGGTGCTCCAGGTGGCCTTGACCCTTGACCTGCAGGTGCTTTCTCAGGAGCATCCTCTTGTAACTACTGCCTGTCCCCTGCAGGGCTTCATGAAGAGGATAGAAGAGAAGGGCGTTCCTGAGGATATGCGAGGGAAGGATAAAATCGTGTTTGGGAACATTCACCAGATTTATGACTGGCATAAGGAGTAAGTGTCCCAGCTGCCCTGAGGGTCAGGGCATCCTGGGAAATCCTGGACTCTGGAATCCTTTTCTTGCATCTGGTGTAAAAGTCAGAGATTGAAGGGAATCTCCTGTCATTTATCTCCCATTGAGAGGTAATGAAGTTCCAAGCAGTGTGACTTCCTCCTTTTATACTCTTTCCCCTTTTAGTTTTTTCCTGGCTGAACTGGAAAAATGTATCCAAGAGCAAGACAGACTGGCCCAGCTCTTTATTAAACATGTGAGTGACACACTGGTCTCCTCCCCATTCACTTTAAAATTCCTTCTTTCCTCCTCTCTTCCTGGATTCACTTATCTTCTTTCCCCTCTCTGAGGTTGTTTTGTGTTTTGTGTTTTTTTTTTTTTTCTTAAACCATCTTGGCCATGTGGAAGTGGGGTCTGGCCCACTACATTTCCTAACTGCCTCAGTGTTCCTCCAAGTGTGGGCCACCCCTGTTCCCACCTCCATGTGTAGAATAGCTCAGCACTCAGAGAGCGAGCACAAGACACAAGATACCTGACTGTCGCATTCCCCGTCTTTCCCTGTGTTTTGTCAGGAGCGGAAGCTGCACATCTACGTGTGGTACTGCCAAAATAAGCCGCGCTCGGAGTACATCGTAGCTGAGTACGAYGCCTACTTTGAGGTGAGCTGCTCGGGCTTTGCTGAACAGGAAGGGGAAACTCAGGCCAAGAGAGCCACATTCAGGAACACCAGCCATCCTCCACCCACAGGAGTCACTGCCTCAACAGAGCCACTAGCTGCTTACTTTAGTTCCCCTGAGCATCTTTGCTTGCAAGGAGCTGAGTTGGCCTCAGCTGTGGACTGCGGGAGGAGCTTCCATTAGCAGAATGATTCTGAAACAGAGACTGATTGGAAGCTCTGATCCTTCCCCAGTGACCCCAGAGCAAACTGTGCCCACATTCTTCTGCACGGCCCCCTGGGCTTCTTGTTGAGGCCTCTCCTTGGTTGAGGGGTTTGCAGTCACTTCATAGCCTTGGTTTCTGTTCCCAGAGGTTTAAGCCTGGACGGATTGACTTTGTTGGTAGAGAGGCAGCACCTTCTCTCAGAGATCAGGGCTCAGCTGTATGGGTCACTGTGTCCTTGGGGCAGCTCTTCTTGCCTGACTCTGCTATGGAGAGATGAGAGAACCTATTTCAGCTTGTCTCCCAAGACTGACAAGAGGACCAGGTGTGACAGTGCTTGCCATGAAAGCACTGTAGCCAGGCAAGAAGGCTATGGTAGGCTGTGTGATGTTGTAGTGTTTTTAACAAAYAAGCCGATGTATAGGCGTTTCTACCTTTTTCCTCACTTGAAGATGCTTAAACTTTATTGGGAAACATGAGGATGGGTGATCCATGCCTCGGAACCCTGACCCAGAACACTCAGCTCTTGGATTCCTTTCTTTCTAACATAGCTCCCTTGTGTTTCAGGAGGTAAAGCAGGAGCTAAATCAACGGCTGACGCTTAGCGACTTCCTTATCAAGCCCATTCAGAGAATAACAAAATACCAGCTGCTCCTCAAGGTAAGAAGCTGGGAGCTCAGGTCAGGGCTGGAAGAGCATCTCCGTAGGCTACAGCCAGTGGCTCTGTCTCCTTCACACTGTCCTGAGGGACTGTGAACTGCGTGGGCAGGCATGGGCTGGCATGGGCTTTGGAGGTGCAGACTTTTCTTTCCTCTACTATATTACTCTGTAAGCTCTGCCCCCAGATAATTTGCATAGCTCTTGCTTCTGCCCTTAAAACTGATGGTTACTTGATTTTTTTTTCCAGTTCACTTTTTTTCACTGACTTAATACCTTTCAAAAYTAACAAATAATGACATAAATTCAGAGTGGAATATGAGTGCAAAAAGAAAGGAAGGGCAAAGCCCTAAAGACCTTAGATGAGTGAAACCTAAAACTTGATCATATTTTATTTTAAATAGTAGTTTGACTTGATTTTTTTCTCCTATGGAATTTGAGACTAACTGGAAAAGTCTGGACTTCCCTTCCTCTCATGCTGTCCTGTCATTATCCCCTTTACTTTCCTCCCTTCCTTCTTCCCTCCCCATCTCCCCTAGCTTTGAAATGTTGAATGTCCTGGGGGGGGGGTCTTCTTTATGTCATTACATCTAGCATGACTCATAATTTCATTTCTCAGCTACTGTAGACCATTGTCACCTCTGCCTAGAAAGAAACTCCTTAGGATGTTATTGCATTTTTACAATAAGTTTTTTTATAGCTCTCTGACTATTTTACTGATGAATTGTACCCCTCCCTGGACTCCTCCCTGCTTCCCCTCCTTGCTAGGACTTCCTGAGATACAGTGAGAAGGCTGGCTTGGAGTGTTCAGATATCGAGGTGAGTTTTCTGCTTGTAATGCTTTCTGTTCTTAGGGACTGCATTAGGCCCTGAAGGGAAAAGATTGTCTCAGGAAAACCAAGGGTCCAGGCCAACTCCTGTCACTCTTAGCAGCATGAAAAATGGCTAGTTAATGTGCAAAGTGTTGTTTTCTAGAATTCAAGAATTCTGTCCTGGGCCAGCCTAGCACTTAGCCTACTGCTGCTCTCTTTGTGGCTGCAAGAGATCTGTATTAGGGAAGGGTGGTTTTTGACACCTTTAACATCCTCCGGAGAGTGGGCAAAATTGCAAATCCAATATGTAACTTTATCCACAAATCCAAGTAGTATTTGACTCCAACATATAAATATTCCACTTTCAGTCCCCCACCTCCATTCCAAGGATTACTCTCTAGGTGAAGTCCTTTGTGTCACCATGGGGATTATTTTAAGCCAGAGAGGTTATAGCCTTTCTGGGCAGGCTATTTTAGGTCAAAACCTCAGTGTTTCCCAAGCCAGGCAAAGCTGTTACTTGGGCTATCAGGAAGCAACAGAAAGAAGAAAGAAAAGATGAGGAGGGAAAAGCAGGGAGATGGGATAAGAATGAACGAGGTAATGATGCCCCAACATGGGTGACTGACATGGAGCCCCTGCACAGATGACCAACAACCCCCATGTAAACAGAKCCCCATGGTCCTCTGAGAGTGGGCAGCAAGGACCACATGCTTTCCTAAAATAAAGGCACTAACAAGAGGCRAGGTCCCTGTCTTCTAGCCCTGAATTGCATGAGCTTTCTGTCTAAAGGCTGCTCTCTCTCCTGAGTGACCGGTGTTCTTTCCCGCAGAAAGCTGTGGAGTTAATGTGCCTTGTTCCCAAACGCTGCAATGACATGATGAATCTGGGACGCCTGCAGGGCTTTGAGGTGAGCCCTTGGAATGCTTCCAGCCCTCTCTCCTCTGGGTGGGAGTCCTGCCAAGTACTGAGGCCTCTTCCCTTTGAAGCCCTGTGTCCTGYCATCTCTGCCTAGGCCCCTGGTTCCCAGGCCTGGAAGATGCATCTATTTAGAAAGTCCAGTGATAGGGCAGAAATAGAGCTCTTGGCCAAACTGGAGTCAGAATTCCAATGAATTTAGAAAAACCCAAAGTTCTTTATAATTAAAGCTGGCAATGACCTCTTCCCTCTTCCTTCCTGACTGAGAATATGAGAGACAGCTGGATAGCAGGATATGTGATGGGCATAGATCCTAAGTGGGAAAATGAACAGTCTTTTTTTTTTTTTTTTTTTTTAGAGAGGGTGGTTTCTGTTAAACAGATCTATGTAGTGACTGAATTTTTAGATCAGTGAACATTTCTAATTCTAAAACCTCTCAGGACACATTTCTGAACTTTGAAGAGAAGAACCATGTCTTAAGGAACAAAGCCAGATGTCCCAAGGATAACTGAACACACAGGTTTGCTAGGGCTACCAAAAGAAAGTACCACAAATTGGGTTACTTAAACAATAAAAATTTATATCCACAGTTCTGGAGGCTGGAACTTATTCACCCAAACCTATATTTCAGGTTTGGGTGAATAAGTTGGGCCCATGACATTCTTGAGCCAAATTGTCTTGTCTTCCTTATCCTGTGTGTCCTTGTCTGGTTTCCATGTTTGTTTGTGATAGGGGATCAGTAACTGGCTGGAAGTTTGAAATCAGGGTGTATTCAGAGATGTTTCCTTCTGAGTACCATGAGGGAAGAATCTGTTTCAGGCCCCTCTCCTTGGCTTGTTGAGGCTGATGTCATGCTCAGTGACATTCTCCCTGTGTCTTCACATCCTGTCAATGTGTCTCTGTGTCCACATTTCTCTTTTTTATAAAGACATCTGTCATATTCTATTAAAACTCAGACTGATGACCTCACTTTAACTTGATTACCTCTATAAAGACTCCATTTCCAGCCAGGTGTGGAGGGGCACACTTGTAATCCCAGCGGCTCAGGAGCCTAAACAGGAAGATCACAAGTTCAAAGCCAGCCTCAGCAAAAGCGAGGCACTAAGCAACTCAGTGAGACCCTATCTCTAAATGAAATACAAAATAAGGCTGGGGTTGTGGCTCAGTGGTTGAGTGCCCCTGAGTTCAATCCCTGGTCCCCTCCCCCACAAAAAAGACCCCCATGTCCCTATAAGGTCATATTCAGAGGTCCTGGGGATCAGAACTCCAAAATATGAATTGGGGGCAAAGGGAGACACAGTTCAGCCCTTAACAGTGAACATTTGAAGACAAATTGRCTTTCCTAATTTATACTTAATAAATGACTATTAAAAGTTGATGTCCAAATCTCATAAATTAAACATGTTTTGAATATTAATATGATAAAATTATAACCAACAGTTATTAACTGGTACCTAGTAGTTACTGATCCTCCTGGAAAAAGATGTGGGGTTTCTAATTCTGTTTCCCAGTAAATCCTGACATCTATGATTTAATTATTCCTTTTTGAAGAAAATGGATTCTTTGAAGCTGAGATAATTAGTAAATGACACCCCTCCCCATCCCCCACTCCCCAGCTAAATCAGAATAGATAAAATGGTACAGGTAAACTAGTGGTGTAAGTTAATCAGGAGGTGCTGTATTGCAGGTTTGGGTGAATAAGTTGGGCTCATGACATTCTTGAGCCAAATTGTCTTATCTTCCTTATCCTGTGTGTCCTTATCTGGTTTCCTTGTTTGTTTGTGATAGGAACTAGGTGGAGGGTCTCTAGCTGTCCATTTTCTTAGATTCCTGGCTCTCCAAGGCAGACCTGACCTGTTAGCTTAAGCAGAGTTACTCAGCAGAAATACACTCTTTGAGTGTGTGTGTGGCTTTTCTTTGGTCATACTGGAGGGACTTTTACACTTTATCCCTTGGCATTATGCCAAGTGTGAGGCTATTCTGGATGAACCAAGTAATCCCTTTTGCTCTTGGATCTTGAAGCCCCTGTGTTTTCTGAACAAGAGTCTGACTGGCCTTTCTCTGGAAGAATGGCAACTGATTGTGCCATCCAACCCAAGTGAGCCTTCAGGGTGCATGTGTGTGTGTCCACGTAAGCCCACACACAGGAGCATGCAGTTCTTTTCTCTTTGAAATCAAGCAGCACTGACCTGTTTTCATCAAGCTGAAGAGAATCTGCTTTGCTTTCCTTCAGCTAATTGAGAAAGACAATGAATGTATGTCTCTTCCCTGAATCCATGGCTTGGGACCGGGGAGAAGCTGGAGCCCCCTCTTCTAATTCCCTCCCTCTCCAATCTCTGGCTTTCTCTTTAGCATTGGCTGCCTCTATCACACGATCAGGTTCTTGTGTAATATTAATAGAGCTTTTAGAGCTTTCCTGGCTAGCTGGTCACTGGCTTAATATTAACTTTGGACCAGGGTAGAGATAAGCCTGTTTGGCTGTTGACCTTGGCAGTGAGAAGCCAAGCAGAGGGCAGGCATTTCTCAGGCACACAAAAGAAAAAATGACCCCTGTGCCAGGTCATGTTTGGAATAAGGCACCAAGTGCATAAAATGGCCCACGTTTGCACTAAAGGGTAAAAGTCGTCACCTGAGAAAGAGCACAGTGCAGAGGAGGGCTTCTGACCTCTGTCTCAGATGCCAGGATCTTTTTGTGCAGGCTTTCTGATAGCCTCTGTGCAACTTGCTGGGTTGGGCATATTCCCTTTGACAATGTCTTTGAAAATCACATTAGAAGCTAACAAGCCAAATATACTGTACCTCTTCAGCTGTGTAGCTTGTGGCCTCTTAGCTGGAGACATTTGACAAAGAATCACAGGACCCAGAGAAATATCTCCCATCTGATGTAGAGCCTATATATATGGTAACCCAACTTCACCTTTTGACCTTAGCAGGACACTTAAACTTCAGATTCTCCCCATCCTAAACAATGGARGAAGGAGAGAAGGTCCTGGCTAGTCAGATTACTTGAGGCCTGTCTGCCTCACACATCTTGGCCACAGGTTGGTTCCAAGTTCCCGGCTACAGAGTGCCCCAGGTGCTTGGCCCATGCCACAGGGGAGGCAGGCACTGTTGTCAGAGCTGCAAGGACAGAAAGGCCACTTCTAGTTCCAAGTGTTGCTTACCTTTTAGTCTCTTATTTTGGGGGGAGAGGGGGAGTACCAGGGATTGAACTCAGGGGTACTCACCCACTGAGCCACATCCCCAGCCCTATTTTGTATTTTATTTAGAGACAGGGTCTGACTGAGTTGCTTAGTACCTCATTTTTGCTGAGACTGGCTTCGAACTCATGATCTTCCTGCATCAGCCTCCCAAGCTGCTGGATTATGGCATGTGCCACTGCTCCAGGCTTATTCTCCTTTTTAATAAAAAACATGAAGGGCCAGGATAATTCCCATTCCTTTTTAGCTAATAGTTCTACCTTTCTCTGGCATTTCCCGGGAGCTATTTTTTTAATGGTTCTGTTACCCTTTTGTCCTTTCCCTCATGGGCCCTGTATGAATAGGATAGTGGCCTCAATCTGTCCCAGTGGGTGGGTCCCAACTCAGTGTCTTACTAGACTCCCAAGGCTTTTAGTGCCCGTCTGTTTTCCATGTTCCCAGAAGGGAACGTCATGTGGCCCAAAAGGGCTGTGTCCGCCTTGCTTCTCACTGGCTTCTGGCTTCTGTCTCCATCAGGGCACCCTGACCGCCCAGGGCAAGCTGCTGCAGCAGGACACATTCTATGTGATTGAGCTGGACGCCGGCATGCAGTCCCGGACCAAAGAGAGGCGTGTATTCCTCTTCGAGCAGATTGTCATCTTCAGTGAATTGCTCAGGAAGGGCTCCCTTACACCAGGCTACATGTTCAAAAAGAGCATCAAGGTGAGGGGCCAGCAGGCATGCAGAAAGGAAGAGCCAAGTTCTTGGAGCTGTGTCCCTCAGATGAGGCCCTGGAGTGGTGAGGACTCAGAGCCTCAAGGACCTCTCAGCCTAATAGCCTTCCAGCAAGTAGGCTGAAGGAAAAACAGTGATCACCCATGGGAAACAGTGACAGGCCCCCAGCTGGTCTCCAGCAAGATCCTGCATGTTCTTCCCCGCCCCCCCACCAAAGGCAAAAAACAGAGTATTTCCTATTAAGTCCAAAGCAAATTTTGGAAACTTCTCTGAGATAAAAGAACTTTGAGGTACAGTAATAGGTACCTGTTTTGTACAACTTCAATATGAAAAGGATCAACTTGTTTTTTCCAGATGAATTATTTGGTCCTGGAGGAAAACGTGGACAATGACCCCTGCAAATTCGCCCTCATGAACAGGGAGACTTCAGAAAGGGTCATTCTGCAAGCTGCCAACTCGGACATCCAGCAGGCCTGGGTGCAGGACATCAATCAAGTCTTAGAAACACAGCGAGACTTCTTAAATGGTATGTGCCACGCCTGCTTCCTGCAGGGCCTTCTCAGGGAACCCCACACCTCTTACCTTCCTTGGGTCTAAGCTCTTGGAGAGTTATGAGCTCAGAACACATTTTATATGGACTCCAACTGTTTACTTTTCAGAAACATTTTAGAATTCTTTTGAACCTGAATTCACAAATGGAGCAGATTGGGTGTGAGAAAGAAGGCCCATCTTTCCAACAGAAGAGATCTTCTCTTCTAGGACATACCATGCATGCTTTTTGGCCACCACTACCAGCTGGTAATAATTTTAGAAAAATTCTGAGATGGGGACATCCTGTCTCATGGGGGCTGGCTGGCAGTGATGTGTGTTTTCACACTTGGTGGCTAATGACTGGTACTCTCTCAGGCTATTTTTTTTTCCTATTTTTAAATTTTTTGTGCTCTTCCACTAAACTACACCCCCAACCCCTCACTAGGGTTTTGTAGAGATAACAGAATTTGACAGATCCGTTCCAATCCCTTCTCTGTTCCCAACACAGCAAGGGCCCAGATAAGCCACCCTCCTAACTGACCTTGCCCCTGTCAATTGAGAAGTGATCACTACCTCTAAATTTCCAATATACCCCCAACAAATTGATTATATAGAGAATATAGCTCTCTATGACCCTCCAGGAATCCCCTAACAAGTGGAATGAAGGAGAGTCCCTACCTTCTTCTTTATTTTTGCCCTGCTGGGATTTCTTCACATAGTGCTTGGCATGTGAAGGAAGTATACATTTTTACACTAGTGCTAATCTGCTGAATTGATGAGCTCAGAAGTCTCTCAAACAGAAATGGAGCCTGAAGTTGAAGGCAAAATGGAACCAGTAGCAAAGTAAATCTGGACAGTCAGCAAATATATCTGTCTGGATGTGTACACACACACACACACACACACACACACACACACACATATGCACACAGGACCTCCTCCAGATGTATAACCTCTTCTTGACTGCCCTGAGACTTGACTCCACGGCCATATGTACTCACACTTGTATGCACACATTCAAACACACACAAGACCAGCCCTAAGTGTCCCATCCTTTCTTCCCAGTACAGTGCTGACAACTATATCACAAGCCTATGTGTTCATGTCTACACACACACTCACACACACATGCACACATATCCACAGGTCCACCTCTGCATATATCACTTGCCTGTACTCAGGCTGGCACTARATGTTAGGTGTACTCATACATGTACATACACATGTACACTCATATATGGGCCAACCCTTGGGCCTGTCACCTCTGCTTGTCAGTACTAGATCTAGACTTTCAAATGATACAACATAGCATTTTCTGGATGTCTAGCATGGAACTGAATGCTGTGGAGAAAGATAAGAGATGACATCCTAGTTGAGGACTTGGGCAAGGCATGATGTATCTCTGGGCCTCAGTTGACTTGCTTTTTGAGAAGGAGAATTTGGGGCTAGGGTGGTGGCTCAGTGGTAGAGTGCTTGCCTAGCATGTGTGAGGCCCTGGATTGAATTCTCAGCATCACATATAAATAAACAAAATAAAAGTCCATTGATGACCAAAAAACATATATGTAAATAAAGAATAAAAAAAGAAAAAAAATAAAAGGACAGTTTGGGGCTAGATCTACTCTACCCATGCTGGGATGAGCCATGGTGGGCCAGCAGTATTGGCTACAAGGAAGCATGGCCCACTGACCTGAAGKGTCAGTTTTCTCCATGGTAAAGGAGTAAACACAATGTTTTTATTTTTAAAAAATGGAGATTATATAGCAGGATGGCATGACTTTTTAAGAGAGAATATGCATATTTACAAAGAGTTTTTSGGGGGGCCATGCCCTCTGCCCTCCAGCTATACAAAAGGTTGGTAGAAAAAACTAGACTCTCTAGAGCTCTTTTCCATTCTAAAAAAATCTAAAATTTCCCCCTGAGGGATAGTAGCAAAAGTTGTATTTAGCTTAAAATTTATGAATATACAATTTTGGATTAATGTAAAGACATGTAAATATACAAAATATATCCATTTAAGTTGCATCCAACTAATTAGTAATCTCTGATTCTAAGCTAGAATGAGGATTTTAAGTTCAACAACTTAAGACCATAGAAAAATAAAGTAGGACAAAATGTGAAACCATAAATTATTTAAGTGACAATAATCACTCTCTTATTGTACACCAGGCACTATATTAAGCAATTTTACCTGTTTTTTTTTTTTCACATTTTATCCTCACATCAACATGGAAAGACAAGTATTATCATCCTACTCTTTTTCAGGTGACAAAAGGGAGACTCAGAGAAGTTAAGAAACTTATCCAAAGTCACAAAACACTAGATGATAGAAAAAGTGAACCTAGAACTACAAGATTTCAAATTAGGCTCTTAACCACAAGATTGAAATGTAGTTGCTAGTGGAAGGACTTACATGTATCTATGAGCTCCCTAACAAGCAAAGCAAAGAAAGAAACAGACTGTGGCATAAGACACTGAACCTATCAGAGATACAGTTTTTCTGATCCTAAGATCCAAATGATGCAAACTGAGGCTGGTAAAAGAAGGTAGGGCTTTGGGGATGGGGTTGTGGCTCAGCGGTAGAGCGCTTGCCTAGCATGTGTGAGACACTGGGTTCGATTCCCAGCACCTCGTACAAATAAATAAAATAAATGTCCATCAACAACTAAAAAATTTTTAAAAAAGAAGAAGAAGGTGTTAGGGCTTCTATTTAGCTAATTTAAGAAAGCATACTTCTTTTCGAATGCTTTAGCATAATCATTGCAGATAACCAGGTAGTAACACAATTTCACATGCTAGGTATTGAGTCATGGATTAGATTTGATTACTAACTAGATTATTGTTACCTAAACATTTAATGCCCATAGAAAATTCCCCAGGCACAAGTCTGAGCTCTGCAATCCTGTTACCTACTTGGCCACACTTGAGAGACAAGGCTGTGGTGATGGCCCAGGGCCAGGCTTTTATTTATAGAGACACACAGAAGCATCTCAACCCATCTTTCCCTCCTAAGACCTCAAATAGAAAAGAGTGTGGCCCTATGTTGAATCCTATGCAGACCTGTTACTGTGGAAATATCTTTATAACTGAAAGTTCTCAGGGTTCCTGTTGTTAACCCATTAGCTATCACACTGATTACTGACCAGAATAATGTCATCAGGCCAGTCCTTGAAGTCATCCAGCATTCTACCTGGATGGCATTTGCCTGGCTGTACCTCTTTAGTGATCAATCTTGGGAATTTGGTTATCTTAAACTCAATAAAACAAAGCTCATGTCTTTCTCTTAAAGTTAGCTTGTTCTCCTGTCTTCTGAGTTGCACTGACTACCATTTTCCCAGTCTCCAACCTGAGCCATCTTCCTTTCCTGCTTGCTGATCCCAGCTAGACCATCAATCTCATCTCTGCTTTATATTCACACAACCCTGTTCTCGCTAGATCCTCTGGCCTCTTGCTGGTTACTGTCTCCTGGCTTCTAAATTAGAGAGGAAGCCTTTTGTCTCTTCCTCTTCAACCCCTCTGCCAACTGCTACAAGGTTGATGTTCATAAAATGTGTCTCCAGAGATAGAATCTGAATTTACAACTTTAAAGTTCATTTTTTAAAAATTTTTTAATCATAGATGGACACAATACCTTTATTTTATTTATTTATATGTGGTGCTGATGATCAAACCCAGGTCCWCACACATGCTAGGCAAGTGCTTTACCTGAGCCACAATCCAACCCCTTAAAGTTCATTTAATCCAGTCATTTTTCATGATCTTCAGAATTAAATCCAGCCTAAGAGTCCTGGCTTTCTAGATCATCCACTTCATCACCCTCAACCTCCCTTGCTTATCTGAATCTTCTTCTCCATGGAAACCTAAGGGCTTCAGCTCCTGGGACATCTGACTCCAGCCTGTTCCTTGAAGACCTCTCATTTGCTTCCCTCCTGCAGAATCTAAATATCAGAGGGACAGCCAGCCCTCTCCCAAAGCTCTTTATTCCCAATCCCCTATCCCCAGACAACACACACCTGGAAGCCSGTCCCACAGAGCCTGCTCTCCTCCCCTCCTTTTGCACACTTGGCACCTAGAATGTGCTGCCATTTTGTTTTTTATTTTCCTTATTTAGGAAGGTGCCCTGGTTCTCACAGTTCTATAAAAACAAAGGTCGTAACTTCCTCACATAGCCACACTCTGCCTAGCACAAAGCCCAGTACCTGGTAAGCCTCCAGATCCTCATGGGATTCCCAAAGCTTAGGATGACCGGCTGCCCTTACCTTGCAGCACTACAGTCACCCATTGAGTATCAGCGGAAAGAAAGGAGCACAGCTGTGATGCGGTCCCAGCCTGCTAGAGTTCCCCAAGCCAGCCCCAGGCCCTACTCCTCTGTCCCCATGGGCTCAGAGAAGCCCCCAAAGGGCTCCACCTACAACCCACCTCTGCCACCCCTGAAGATATCTACCTCCAATGGCAGTCCAGGGTTTGACTACCACCAGTCTGGGGACAAGTTCGAGGCCAGCAAGGTAAGTGCCAGCTCTTCACTCCTGCCTTCACCACCCTGCAAGCACAGCCTCAGAGGCCACTTTAGGAAACAGCATTTTTTATGCTAATTATTTTAGCAGGAACACTCCACTTAATACAGTCTAGTCTCAATTATTTTCCTCTCTTCTCCTATAAATTGAGTTAGACCAGTTCCCTCTGACTCAGACACTCTGTGTTAAAGGGCTATTATCAGCTACAAAAACTTAATAGATACAAAGGATTATTGTGATGATAAGCTTGAAAATGGTTGAATTTTACCAAATAGAGTAGTAGTGGTTATGTGTAATCTAAAAGCCACGACTCCAGTGTGTGCCATCTGCAGACAGCCCTATTTTTCCTCTTTCTTTTTTTTTTAATTTTTTTAGATACACTTGACAAAGAGTATATTTTGACATAGTATACATACACAGAGCATAACTTTTTATAACTAGAATCCCATTCTTGTGGTTGTACATGATGAGGAGTTTCACTGTGGCGTATTCATATATGAACATAGGAAAGTTATGTCCAATTCATTCTGTCTTTCCTCTTCCCATCCTCTCTCCCTTTCTTTCATTCCCCTTTGTCTAATCCACTGAACTTCTGTTCTTCCCTTCCCCCACCCCCACTCATCATGTGTTAGCATCCACATAGCAGAGAGCATATTTGGCCTTTGGTTTTCTGGAATTGAGGAGCCAGCCCTTTCTAATGATGGCCCATCTTGAGCACCTAGGGAAGCAAGTTCACAGTTCTTCACCACCCAGTGGCTGATGTGGCAAGCAGAAGCTGATCATGAATGTGTGAACGGGGAAGCCAGTCTTCACAATCCATGCTTCAGATATTACTTGAGGATAATTGTAGACCTAACCATAGAACTAGTCTACACAGCTGGTTTGACCCTCAAAAAAGTAGTAAGAACAAGAGAGAAATGGGGAAAGCGCTAGGTTAGGAATCAAGTGATCTAGTTTATATTCCACATTCTGAAACACACTTGCTTTAAAACCTCAGCAAGTTTGTTTGTCAGGCCTCGGTTTTCCCTTGAGCTCAATGAGTCTGTGAATAGGGCAGCCTACATTGATTACTTACATAGTCTGAATGTGTCATTTTATTTTTCCCAAAATTGTTAATTGATATTCCTCTTGTTAAAATTGATTCTTAATGTCCAAGTTCAATTTTGTTCATTTTGACTGTWCCAACCTATTTCATCATATCACCTGGAAATGACTTTGTCCCTTATAAAGATACAGCCCTTGTGAATCAATGGAAGTCAGCTTGGCATTTGGTCAACCATATTGAAGAGTTTCTGGTTCCCAGCATGCTGTAAGAGGCGGCAGGGCCTCCTGGAGAGGTACAGGTCTATCAAGAAGCAGTGGCCCTAGTGGAGACTCAAGTGAAAAGGTGGAATAGGCAGCACCTTCCCTATTAATGAGGGCAGGAGGTGAGGCATTTTGTTCCCACAGGGAATTGGGCCAAGGTAGGTCATGGCATTGCCTTCAAATGGAGCAAAAGTRTATTCTTCACTCCTGTCTCAAGGAGGCTCAGAATGTAGAACAAGGTCAGTTGATGTTTTTTCAAAAGGAAAAAAAAAATGTAGTAGCAAAGCATCTGTGTTCTTTCCACAGAGGAGRATGGTGACCCCTGACCTGAGCTTTGCTCTGACCGTGCTATGCTCAGGTACTTATGTGTCCCTGGGCTAGTGCCAGGTTCTTCCTGCCATTAGCAAGAGAACACTGTCAGGAAGGTTGCATACTAGGAAGGGGCTTTCAGGTTGAGGGTATTTTACACCTTTGCTTGGTCTAGGGCTAGCAGTATTTATACCTGTTCACCCTTTACTTTACTATCCTATGAAATGTGAGAACATGTTTATGAGTATATTATTACTGAAGGAATGTTCTGCCTGCTGATGGCTTGGCCTTAGCCATGCAGTAGGGTGCAGAGGAAGCACATCTGAACCAGCCTCCTTGTGTTTATGTCCTTTTCATCCTTGGCTTTTAGCAGAATGACTTGGGTGGCTGCAACGGGACCTCATCTATGGCCGTGATCAAAGATTACTATGCACTGAAGGAGAATGAAATCTGTGTGAGCCAAGGTGAGGTGGTCCAGGTCCTCGCCGTCAACCAGCAGAACATGTGCCTGGTGTACCAGCCTGCCAGCGACCATTCCCCCGCAGCTGAGGGCTGGGTCCCCGGCAGCATCCTGGCGCCCCTCACCAAAGCCACAGCAGCAGCAGAAAATAGCGACGGGAGCATCAAGTAAGTGCCTCGTTGGCTTCCCTGGGAAAGGAGTATGTGGATTAAAAAAAAAAAAWTTCAAAAACAAAAGAACACAAAAATGCAAACACACAGTAGGGAATTACTGCTGCTTATCCTCGACAGTGCCACTGGAACCAAGGGTTGAGTGCTGGCACCTCCTGCAGCGTGCGGCATCCAGGCCGGATTGTTCTGGTTTATCTGTTGGTGGTGGTTGTGGTTTTTCTTTGCTTTTTGTTTATAATTTTCTGTTTGTTTTTTTCCCTCTCCCCCCCACCCACTCATTAAGACAAGAACCCTACTGAAACCCTAGGTGACAAAAGGCATGCCTTCCGTTGCTACATTTGACCCACCACGGGACTCACTGGACTGGACTTCTATTTATATTGTATGAAGTTACTGAGATATATATTTTTTTTTKATTGACACCAAAAAATGACCTTAGCACAAATGCCAGACCTGAGTAGGTCAGAGCCCGCTGCTTCTCCCAGAAGAGAGGGAACTTTTTGGTTGTCTGTGGCAATTCCTCTGTACAGATTGTAACTTTTTTAAAAATTCCCCCCCTCCCTTGTCACTTTAATATATGTTCATGGTAATTTGTAAGATATTTCTCTTCCTTATTTTCGTTGCGAAAACCCCTCCGAACACATTCCTGTATAAAATATTTTGCACTATTTAAAGAAACCCATATGGATGAAGTCAGGTTGTGCAATATGATGGAGAGTCACAATGTTCATCATTGTACCTGTAATGTAACTAATAATTTTAAATGTACTATTTTAAATATGTAAAATAAATTTTCACCATGAGCATGTTTTAATGAGGTTAAAAACTAGTTGACCCTTTTTCCCTCATCTCATTATTCTTGAACTCTTAAATGTGCAAATGATTCTCCTTTTTTTTCTTTCCTTTTCTATATTTTAGGAGTTGGCTGAATACATTGGCAGTTTTTTTTCTACATAAAAAAATGTCATTATCACTAAAGCTATGACAGTAGCCTTTCCTTCTAAACAGCCCTTATTGGTTTTCTCTGGCTTCTGAGATGAGATGCTGTCCAATGGGTTCATAACAACTGGACAACTTTGAGGTGCTGAYGTAAATGAATGGCTAGAGGAGAGACAGTGTTTGGCTTGCTTTTCATGCTGCATGGTCAGCCACAGAAGGGGCCCAAGGCACACCAGTGAGGTACCTGAGCCGTGGCACCAGCAAAACCATGCTGCTTTGACCCTTCTGGATCAGGGGATAGAAGCTACTGATTACCTTGGCCTTGCCAGGTAAATGCAGATCCAACTGGAAATCTGTAGTGGCCCCTAAAACAAACTGGGCCCAATCCATTTTATTCTAAAGATGCATGATTTGGGTGCCTTTTAGGAAACTCTGGGAATAGAGACTCTTAAAGCACTGACGTCCTCATTAACCAACAGCCTGGCAGAGCCAACTCTTAGTGACCTATGCCCTAGTTACCAGGCATTAAGCACTGCTTCCTCCTCCTCACTGGGTCTCTTGGTCACTCATTCACACTTCCCATTGGAGGGAGGGGAAGAGGAGGCTCAAGCTAAGGAAAGAGAACAAATTGAAATACACACTGGTCATTTKGGTCCTTACCAGCCTCTCTTGCTTGAGAATTGGTGGAGGTGGAGGAGAGAAACTGCCTAAAAATGGTGTTGGTATTTATCAGTGATGGTCACTCCCATGCTAGGACCATAGGGGTCAGAGCTGGTTGCAGTGCCTACTGGATAAATGTCAYAGGAACCCTGTGTCCACATCAGTCCCCAGGCTTGTGGCCAAGAGATGGAAGCTCCCCAGAACATGATGACGAGTGCTTCTGGGAAGAAAAATTGAAATTGAGCCTGTCCTGCCACTTACACTACTCTAAGTGTTCTGAATGCTATTTTTAACATTTGTCATTTCTTACCAAGAGTACTGAGGAGCCCAGAGGGTGATGATAAACAAGAACACTCTTCCAGGTGCACATACACACATATACATACACACCATGCTGACAGCCCCAGGGGACCTTTTCAGCAAGGACCTCCCTGACTTGAGATATTCTTAGAAGGAGCCAGGGACATGGATTTGGGAGTAAAAGTTTGAGCTAAAGGTTTGCTCCATGCCTGTTCTCTCTGAGAGAAGAGCTGGAGCAAGGTACTAGAACACAGGCCATTTAGAGAGCCTGCCCAGCCAGGAGGTCCAGGCAAGCTCTGGCCTTCTAAAGGAACTCACTGTGCCAAAAGACCCAGGAACCTGACTGTGATTGCATTTTCCTCTTCAGGTTAATTGTTGAGCCTGTGTGTTAGGTGATGAATTATTTTTGGAACACCTCCCTTGGGACATCCTGGCATATAAGGAGTGTCAAGGAGATGCTCTGTGTTTGGGAGTACCTTCCTTCCCCCTAAATCTCACCTATCCCTCCCCCTTAATGAAGATTCTCTTCCCCATGTTTGACAAGGAGACACTGAAGGGATATCAAGCCTCACTTAACTGCAGACAATGATTGGAACTTCACCCAAACCCTGTGCCCACACGCAAAATTGATGCTGCCTGCTCAGGGTCTCTGATGCTGTCTTTGCCTTTAAGTCTGATAGATGTGGAACTCTAGAGCTCTGTTCCAACCTTCCCTTTATAGAATCTCTGAAGAAGGAGCTCCCAAACTCCTGGTGGGAAAAAAAGAAGTTAGAAAGGCATGAAAAGGCTCTGCCACTGTCACCTCCCTGGGAGCACATGTTGGGTCTTGTCTCAGCAAGGAAACTCGAGGACCTATATTCACAAACATTGAGTGATACAGAGAATAGTCCAAAACCCTTTGTCCTAAAGTACCCAGATACATGAGTCCTGCTCAACCACTTATTAAGTCAGCTGCCCCAGAAATCCTGTCTGTTCTACAGTATTTGGGRGTGGCCATACCCAAACATAAATAATAAGATGGAAACCTCAAAATCATCCTTTTGGTTCATTATATCTAGGCCTGGGAAACTGTCAGTAGCTCATGCACAATAGAATACACTTCCTTTGACTTCCCTATTCCACTCCGACTCATTGCTTCCCATCCACCCTGCCCTCATGAGAAGAACTCAGTCCTAGAAGCTTCCATCAGATGATCTGCAAACCTCCCAGGGAACTTTAATGATCCAGTCCTCATGTTTTCTCCACATACTGTAATCACTCTTGTACATCCCTCAGGAAGGGTCAAAGTTCATCCTTGCTCACTTCCGGTGGGAAGTGAGATTAGCCACCAGCCACTACCTGGCATGCAGGATTGGGGCCTTGGAAGCCAGGGCTGGACTGGAGCACCTCACCTGACTCAGTGGCGGTGAGCCCGCCCACCGCCTCACTCTGCCCCAACCTGCCGTTTTGACTGGTGCATTTTTTGGTACAACAGGAAGTCATGTTCATGGCATACTCTACGCATGAGAAAGCGGGCAGAAGTGGAGAACACGGGTAAAAATGAAGCCACAGGGCCTCGTAAACCCAAGGATATTCTGGGCAACAAAGTCTCTGTTAAAGTGAGTAAGGTATTCCAGAGCTGTGTCCCTCTCATCTACTCCCACCCCGCAGCATTCTCACAAGGCAATTGGGGTGGATGGGGATTTTTATTTTTTATTTATTTATTTTTGGGGGGCCCAGTGTCGGGACCAGAGGGGAAGTAGTTTAGCAGGATTTTGCATGCAAGATCAATTTATTTTTCATTTTTTATTTCTCCTGGCAACTTCAATTCAAGTAAGTACTTCTTTTGTTTTCTTTTATACTTTTCTTTTTATACTATGCAGATGTTTTAAAGCAAAATTATCTGCAGCATTATTCTCTTAGAAATGCAAGATGCTTCGTTCATATTAAATTTCTCAAAGCTGCCCATTCAGTATCCTAGGTTTGGGAATACATGCAGGTTAAAGGGATTAGGGATGCCTTCTAAACCCCTAACTCAGTGAAAGGCTGAAGTTGGGAGTTTAAGGGCCACTGTGTCCTTGGTATAGTTTTATTTCTTTTCCCCAGGGCTCAGACAACATCACCTTTAAGCATTTTACTTGCCTCCCTGAATGCACAGGTGTGGCAGAGAGGCGCATTGGTAAAGCTCAAGTTATTGCTTTGTAATAATCCATCTATCACTTTGAAATCACAGGTCCTGAGTTTAGCTGACCCTTGTTTTCCCCAACAATATAATATCCATTGTGTAAATTGAGCCCTCTGAAAAGACCTTCCTCTGGACAATGGAAATCCCACACATTGATTTTGTGAAAATGTGTCATTGTCTGCCTGGCAATTGGTTTGCCCCCTTAAGCAGAGTAACAGCAACTAATACCCATTCTAACATCCTTCTTGGGGAAAAGAAATTGTGTGCTTTCCTTGGCCCCCATCTGAGAAGTCCGGCCTCACAGGAGACAACAGTTGAAATTCCACAGCACTCATGCTTCATTCAGCCGCTTCCATTGCTCTTTCCTGTGAGATAAGCAGCTGTCCACAGTGCCAGCCTCCTCTCCCTTAAAAGAGCATGCTGCTGCCCTTGTGACTCATGCCCCCMTCTTCAAAGCACTTGGTTGCTTCTCTGCCCAGTTTCCCATCGACCATGCTTCTCTGAAGTTCTCCTCTCTCCTAGCCAAAGCTACCTGCATTCTAACTGTGTTCTCTTTCTTCCCCCTTCCTCATGCTGCCAACCAAGGAGACGAACAGTTCCGAGGAGTCAGAGTGTGATGATCTTGACCCTAATACTAGCATGGAGGTAGAAGCAGCTATGTTATCCTATTTCCTACCATGATTGCCTTTTTTTGATTTTTGTTCTGTAACAGTGACCTTGCTAAAGTGGCCAGCCATTCAAGGATAAATTGCGATGTTAGGGCACCTCCCGGTGTCCCCTCCCAACTAAAACAGCAACAACAGCAGCAACAAAAACTGAATTCAGTTCTATTTTGGTAGAAAAACTCTATCTCATCTTTTTTTAAAATTACCTAAGTGTGTAGTTCTCTTGAATGCTTGTTTAATATTTTCTTCTTTGGCAGGTTTAGCGTTGCGTTGAAAATATTCAACCTCATTATTTGAATCAGAACTTTTTTTTTTCTTCATGGAAAAACAACACTGTAAATAGTGGCTTTGTTTCTCCTTTTTGTTCACTCCTACACCCTTGGACTTTTCCTTTTTCCCCTTTACCTTCTTCCTCTTGTCCTTCTTCTGCTGGAATTTATTCCTCCTTCAATGCTCCAGAAAAGTCATGGGTTAAGTGAGGTTTTGCAGGTGATTTGGCTCCTGGTCACTACATGTAGCAAGTTGGTCACAAATGAGGTGTGATAAGAGCAACTGGGAGGCACACCTTTGCCCCATCCCTGGGGTCCATGGGCAGTGTCTATATCATCACATGAAGGAAAAGAAACCCTGGGGATGGCCTTCCTCCCAGAGCGTGGGCAGAGGTCTCTCTGGAGATTGTGAGAGTGGAACACGGCAGGCGGGACCTTTTCTGCTCTCCAGGTTTACAGGGCTGAGGGAGATGAACCTGTGCTTCTGCCAACAGGAACATTCACTTCCGACTCCTTGTAGTCCATGGGGTTATAGAAACAATGGCTCTTCCACAGTTTGCACTGAAATACAATCATCACAAATTCACAAACCACAGAGAATTTGATCGAGTGTCGAGCTGGCTGTCCTTGTCACATTGTCTTTCAGAGTAGATGGCAATGCTTTTTTCCAAAGCTATGTCCTCATYCCCAATACCAGATAAAAGTTCCAAGATTTCCTGTAAATGCAAAATAGGGAATGTTTTTCAAAAAGCTTTTCCTTTATATAGCCCTAAGCTTTTCACTTAACTGTATGAGATGTGATAGGACCTTAAATTATTATTCTTAAATTTAATTTAACCTAATCTCAAAGAAGTCTGCCATATTCTTGACAACCCCCACAAAACCTGAGAGAGCCCATAAGGCCTGAGATGGGTAAACCAGCTGTGGAAGAAGCCAACTGCGTGGAAACAGACCAGAGGCAAATGGTGGAAAATGGGATTTCTTCCAGAATAAAATAGTCCCCTGTGGATGTGAGCATTGCCACTGAGCTAAATCCAGCAGGTGTGGTCAATACAGCGCTCCACTGTGGGAGGAAGTGGGTGTGGCCATTGTAGCCTAAATGTATCTTAGAGAATAAGGAAGCTGAGGGAAAATTCTGTTCCTACTTTCCTTGCATTTTATAGGATAGGCACCAGCATCTGTGGGTTAGGCAAATATCAACTTGTAGATGCCAGTGGCACTTTATCTCCAGGCCAGGTGTTTCTGGCATGTGTCAAAGATACCAGCTGCAAGCAGGGTGGGCWAGTGAGACGGAGGGGGAAAGCCAAATATCCGTGTTCCAGAAGGCAGTTTGGGACCTTGTCCAGCTCTGGTGGCTTAGAGGGCCAAACATGACTTTCCCACTCTCTGAAGGAAGAGATGGGTGCAGAGGACTGTGCGACCAGGTGAGTAGCACCCACTGAAAAAGTTAACTCATGTAATCAGATGCTATGTTCTACATCTAGATGAGAAAAAATGCACAGGTGCACACATACATACCTTAGTGCTRCCTTGCCAATTGAACATGTTTTTAAGGTTTTTATTCATGGAGGCTGATGGCCCTTTTGAGAGCTGAGTGAGGTGGCTCCCTTGGAGGTGTTACTAGGTGCATAAACAAACACATTATGATGTACATGTGGAAAAGAGAAAAGCCAAAAATTGTGCTGATACATGTCCAAAAAACGTTCTTCAAATACAATGRTCAAGGCACAAAGTTTCTTTTAGGCAGAAATTTCAGTTAACTCAAACCCTTAAGGGGCATGTGATCTGAAGCTGCAAACATCCTGGTTAATGATTCTGTAGTAGTCATGCTTGTAGCCCTGGCACATTCCATGTAGATCCTCCTAAGCTTCAGTGTGCTCTTCTGAATATGTTACCATCTTGAAATTAACTCTGGGCATATGAGCAGCCAGAGGAAAAGCCAGYATTGTGGCACTGCTAGTTTGACACAAATAACAAATAACAAATCGGATGTGGGAAATTAACCTGTTTTGTTTGTCATGACTTGAAAATTTCTGAAGGGATATGCAAGTAGAACTTTATGGCAACAAACATGGTAGATGAAAAAATGACCAAGGGGACATAGTAAAGACCAACTTGGAGTGCCACCTCTTGAAGTCTTCTTGCTGTTAAGGCAATCACTTAGTACCTCATTCCCAGAGCCAGGCTGGCCCCTGACCTCACCCTTGTCTTCTGAACATGACACTGCAATAGGTGTTGGCTCTGGGAGCAGGTCCTATGCTCTTGCTGGGCTGAACTACAGCCTCCTCTGTTACTGGAACCCTGGCTGTCAATCTGGCACTGTGTACCCATGCATTTGCTCAGCACCAGGTCTCCAGATGTTAAATCCTACCCTGCTGACTGACTGCCCTTGACCTGGTTTCATCATGTTCCTTCCAGTCCCAGCTGTGTACAGACTCATCTCCTGCCTCCATGGGAATGATGTCACCAAAGCATTCTTTACTTTCTCTCAAATGGTGAACTGAAGGGTCCCCTTAAGGCGCAGTTTCCTGGGGATTTTGCTTACCCACTGGGTGCCTGCCACCCCAAGGCTGGCATATGTCTCTAACCACCCTAGTATTTGGAGGAGATAATAGGCACGTCCTTGAAAGCTAATTAAGAGAGAAATAAAGCATGTTGAGTCTTAGGAATCTGGTTGACAAAAGATACCCTGTTATGGAAAGGGAGCAATTAGCTCTGCTCTTTTCCTCCTCTTCCTTCCCCTGCAGAGTCAGCTTATGGATTCTCAAGCCCAGCCCCACTCACCAGCCTTTGCAAGATTGGCTCTAGGTCCATGTGGTTCCCTGGTGGCCTGGTCCCCTGTCCTTCTATGACTATCCTTATCGAGAACAGATCTCGAAATGATGACCATCTGTCTCTAGAGCTTTTCCTTGCACAGATAAAACTTTGAGAGTGAGAGTAAAGGGGAGTATTATATATGAGATAAATGTTTCTACATGGAAGAAGAGTCCAATCAGTGGGAATCAAACACTAGGAYACCTTGGGAACAAGTTAGTTCATTTTTTTCCTGGTACGGGTTGGACTGCTGATTTCCATTTCCTGGGTGAGGAACTACTAATCATCCTGCCAGCTTCTCAGGCCTGCCTCTGCCATCATGTCTGTGCTGACACTCAAGGCTGGAGCCAGTGCTTGCGTGTCCAGGTCGGCATCTGCCCTCACACAGCCCTCGCCCATCTCTAAGAAACCTGAATCCTTTCTGCACTGTACTGAGTTTCCCTTAGGACCCAGGCAAGACTGGTTGTTCCCACATCCATACACCATGGAAACATTTTCTGAGGACTGTCARTTCTTGCATTTTGACACTTAACTTCTCAACCCCAGCATTGCCATCTGGACACTGGGAAAGGCCAGGGTCAACCTCCAGGCTTGGACCTTTGTCTTCAAGAATATAGAATCTCAGCCCAGCATTTACATCAAACCCAATTAAATACTTGCATTTTATTTTTTAAAATCTCAATTCTACTTTTAGAAGAGAAGCTCAGTCCATTAGAATAAGAAATTTTAAGGATTTCAAGAAGACTGCATATCTGCCCCAGCCTTTCAGTAGTGCCAGCCTCATTCATGACACAGAACAAGTATAGACATTTTTCCCCAGGGGCCCCATGCCAGCTGCCGGGTATTTAGCTCAGGAATTAAGAACAGATCTTGGAAAGGGCTCTGAAAGACAAGCAAAAGACAAACACTTGGAAGTTGAAGTTAATTTTGGAGGAAATTTCCAATCAGAGTAAGAAGCAGATTTTCAGAATCAACAGAACCTTTGACGCTTTCAGTTAACTCCATCCTCTTCATTTATTTTTACTGTTGTAAATCATACACAATGTAAAGTTGAGCATTTCAACCACTGATTAGTGTATAGTCTGGTGGCATTAAGTGCCTTCACAATGTATGTCCATCCATTTCCAGAACTTTTTTATCATCCCAAATGTACTGTGTGCCCACTAAACATTAGCTCCCTCCTGTCATCTGTCCCCCCAGCCCCTTCCATTAAAAAAGGGGGTGAACTGCGGCACAGGAAATTTTAACTTTATGCTAGAAAACTAGAAGGTGGCCAGGTGTGCTGATGCACATCTGTAATCCCAGCATCTTAGGAGACCAAGGCAGGAGGATTGCAACTTCAAGATCAGCTTCAGCAACTTAACCATATGCTTGTCTCATTAATAAAAATCCCCTGTACTTCAAATTTTAAAAAGAGAAAGAAAAAATAAAACTAGAAGGCGCCCTGAGGTAGCTTCTGGTTTTCCCTGGTCATTACTCTTCCCCTCTCTCCCTACCACACACCATCCTGTAGCAGCCTGGCACACCCCATCTCTAGGTGCTTTTAATCTAAAACACAGATCCTGGCAGAGGAGAAGACCTCCCTTCTAGTGCCAATTTTTCTGTGAGAATATTTAATTGAGTTTTCCAGCTCGACAAAGAAAAATATCATTTCTGCCCATCCTGGCTTTCCAAGGCTGAAGTAGAACTTAAATGAAAGTCACATAAAAACAGGATCACATGGAAAGGGAGTCAGAAAATTTGGATTCTGGCATGGATACTGCCAGCGGCRTGAGCTGTGGCCAGCAACCCTCCCTGAGCCTCAGGTTTCTCTGGGCAGCTACACAGGTCAAGCATACAGCATGTGCAGCTCTTTTGAATACTGAAGATATAAAGTGTGGCACCAAAGGACTTTGCT